TTAAGCTGCAGGTATGACTTGAGCTTAAGGAAATAGTTGATATTTCAGAAGTCCCTTCCCGTTCCCAAGTACCCCCCAAGCAATATTTTGTGATCAACCCTCCAAAAAGCACCAGGCTTTTATTGGATACCTTTCATGAGTCGTTTCCCCAACTTGGCTTCATCCAGCTGTGTTGGACTACAGTGGCCCACAACCAATGGTTTAGGGATGAAGGACTGTAGTAGAAGAGATTTGGAGGATGGCAACTTTGGGGAAAATGCATTAGCAACTTCAAAAAGAGAAATTAACAAGAAGAACTGAACTGCTACACTTGCTTTACAGAGGTGACTCTATATTGGTTCAGGAGCCGATGGATTGATTCCTGGGAATTATTTTCCTCACTCCCCAAAAATATTTTTGTCATGCTGCAGCAGCTTTCGTAATCCCAGAAGATGCATTCCTGCCTTCTAAAGCTACCTAAAGCTGGCTTGCTTTTGCTACTTTAGCCGTGTGAAGGTCTAAGATCTCCACCTGAAGCAAGCTGTGAAAAATAAGGCAGCAGCAACAACACTGGTCTCTGGTCACAAACACGTCCCAGCACAGACTCCCCAAAAGAGGAGTGAAGACTTTTTTTAAAAAAAAAGAACCACAGGCTGATAGTTGGTCATCTAACTTGTGAGGATGTCCTTGCACAATGGCTGGAGGCCTTGTGAAAGGTCACTCAGGGGGGGGCACCATCAGTGAAAGCAGAGCACTGATCATTGACCTGATATAATTTCTCACCATCTTACAAGAATGCACCATTGAGATCATCCACAAGAAAATTGACAGCTCTTTTGGGGCTGTCTTACTGGGCAACATGGTCATCGGTGTTGATACTCTTGAGGAACTTCAAAGCAACTCTGCATTCTCAGGGGAGTTGCCTTTTTTTCAGGAAGGGTGGAGGACCCTGGTTTTTCCACCTTGGATTGGAGATTGTTCCAACGGCCAGGTTTCAATCTCCAGAATTCCCCCTGTTCCTTTAGTCTTTCCCCCATGCAGCTCAATTAAGAAAGCTGGAATAACTTCAGGGCCAGCCCTAGGGTAAAATTCCCAACACGTTCGGATTCCTTCTTCAGCTGGACATTGTTTGGGTGAGATTACTTCCATGACAATCACCAAGTCTTAACGTCATGGACAGAAGAAAAAGGGCATGAAATTGTACATAATCAAGATTCTTTTAGTACCTTCTGTAGTTCAATCTGACAAGCCAATGGACTAAGTCTAAGTCTTTCCAGGACTGCTAGGTTATCCAGCCAAGGTTTTCATGGATTGCACCCAAATCTCAAATCAAAATCTGCCCATCTGTAAGAAGTGGAATCACTCTACTAATAGAATCACTACATCTGGAAGGATGAGGGAGATGTTCATGCATTCGTGTTTCCAAGTGGCTACCACTGGCCCTAAGAGTTATTCCAGACCCAGAATATAATCACGCAGCTACAAGAAGGTAAATCTCCAGCACAGCTTTGTACTTTTATTTAAAGTAGAACCTGAGTAAACCAATCTTTCTGATTTGAGATCAGAATCGGAGAGAAACACAAAAACTCCCAAAATAAACTGAAGCAAGGTTGAGATGGAGTAATACTGCAAAGGTATAATGTGTCATAATGGTGGCCCACCAGATTACTATCTCGACCTGAAATGATTAATTGCATTCCATATTAGACTAAACCTTCAACCATCAGGTACCATTTTCCATTAGGTTCAATCCCCAAGACTCAAGGAACATAGAACCCTTTAAAATCATCTCAATGTTGGTTGCTTTGGAAACCTGGATAAATTCTCCTGCCCTATATTTTAAACATCCTAAGAAATCCATAGCATGTCGAAGTGTTTTGATTTCTTTTAATTAATCCAGCTATTCTCTTAGGGTCATCAGAGGTCAGCATAATGTGGCTTGGGTGGTTGGGGCAAGGATGAAGAAGAGAAAAGAACAGAAGGTTTTAGAAGAAAGGAATAATTCAAGAAGTGTTAAGTAGCAACAAGGGTCCCTGGTTTCTTTATCTCCCATCCATGTTGAATCCATTTGTGCATTTGTTTTGACTCTTGCTCGAAAGCTGCACTGGAGACATACCGGGGTTTTTTTTCAGGAGAGCAAACGTATCTCCCACCCTGGAAGGGCATCATAACCAATGGGAAGGAAGGACATCCCCATGCACTTCTCCATTGCACATGACTGTTGCAGCATGCCCTCTCTGATACTAAAAAGGGGAGGGTTTGAATCAATGGGACAACCGTAATGCAAATAGAATATGAACATCAAGACAAGTCCCCAAACATCTCCTGGACAGTAGATCCAAAGCCTCGGTACCTCTGTTTCCAGCCGGTGGGAATCCGAAAGAAATTCCTTTTACTACTAAAGAGCTGGCTAGAGAGAGGAGAAGGAAAACACACAAAAAAAACAAGAACAAAAAGAAGAAGGGGAAGAGAAGACAAGAAGGAAAAAGGAAGGAAGAGAAGGGAAAAGGTTAGTAAGGGGAAGGACAGAGGGGAAAGCCATGCTGAGGCCAACAGGACTTGATGAATGTTGTGAGAGCACCATCCACAGAACACCTCACTCAGGGCACCCCAAAATTCACTGTGATTTCCAATCCCATCCCTGATATGGATGACTCACTTGACCTGCATGAAGCAAGCCGGCATCACCAGAGCTTGCTGGAGGGACACTTGGTTTAAAAAAATGACCAGTGTAGTTCAGATCTGGAAATGGACATATGGCCAAGAAGGTCAGGTGTCAAGATTGCTCATGTTCTTCTTATCTATTGATAGCTCTTCCCAGTACCTCCATTAAAGGGTATTTTGTACTTCTACAAAATAGAATAAAGTTTGCTGGTCTCACTGTCGGTCCCAATTGTTTTTATTACAGCTTACACCTAGTCTTAAGCTGGGAGACTTGGCGGCTTTGTAATATGAATTTAACAGGTCTTCTGCACAGGGAGTGGGCAAAAAAGATGTCTCTCTGTTGCTTCAGTGGGTAACCATTCCCTAGACCTGTCAACTTTTCTTTAGACTTCTTTCTGAACATAAGTTCATTCCTCTTCTGGAAGAGTGCTCAGAAGCCTTAGGACCACAGATGATAGGTGCCGGGAGAGCTAATGCTAGGGAGCAACAGAGAAGCACCTCTCATTTCCACTTTCTTATGGGACTTCCATACCACCACTGATGGGGAGCTGCTATTCAGGTTGATCTAAGTTTCTGAGTCAGGTATAAGAGGTCACCCTACTTTGAAAGCCTGTTGCCCAAATCAAAATAGTCTTGGAAGACAATTCCCATGGAGAGGAGGTACCCTCACCAGCCTAAGATGTTCATCTGACTGCACCAACAGGATGATTGGTGAAATGTATCAGCTTGGGTCCATGCTAGGAGGACAAGCTATGGTGTGGTCATTGCAAGTTTTTCCAGAGAGAAAATAGAACTTGTTGTCTTGGTCTACAAAGCAGTACCTTCCAGGCTACTGAGTGACACTTTGAGCCTGAATCATCATTTCCATAGTCTGCAAGCAAACAATATTCTTTTTTATAGCCCCTAGAGTACCTATGGAATGCCCAAAGTGACTTTTAAACTTAGTTTGAGGAGAAGAATTTGGAAGAAATTTAGGGGACAAAACCTGACCCTCTGTCCTTCTTCCAAGGTCTAACAGCCTAACCTTGGGCCAGCCTGCGGGTTGAACTGTTAGAGAGTGTAAGACCTTGAGTGAGACATGTAGGTTGAGTTTGGTTGCCCATGATTGTTACTTCGGTTGTTACCGTTGCTTTTGTTATTATTGTTGCCCTGCTGTTTTCACATTCCAAAATCGTTATATTATATTAATTATATTGTTTCTTGCAAATTGGGCAGACCTATACCTCAAAATAAAATAAATAATGTTTAAATCTTATGGAGGCTTAAGGCAAGCTTTTGCCATTAAAAACCCTAGTCCTTCAAGAAAAAGCAACCTCATGGAGACTTTTTTTTCCCTACTTGGAGAAGTGAAGAGAGAAAACATACCCTTCCCCACACCCCTGATTGAGATGTCTGGTCTTTCCACTTCTGGTGATGCCAGAACATGTACCGCTTGAGGAACTAAGGAATGACTGCAAAAAGTGGCCCCTGGTTTCCTGGGAAATCTACCTCCCTTGTCCCTAAGCATTGATGTAGCAAACAATTCCCTTGGTCACCCTGTGATAGTTCCACTTTCAGTGCTGTTTCTCCTTTTCCCCTCCCCAAAATGCCAGGTTATTCCCCCTACCTCAGCAGGAGATGCGGCCCACCAGCACCTCTTGTAGGAAAACCTACCGTCCCGCTGCCTCCCTCTCTTTGACGAGGGAATAAAAGCAGACACCACCATTTTATCGGGAAGGGTTACCTTAGGCGCAAACACTTGGGTGACGGAGCTTCTTCTTCTATCCAGCTTCCGGAAATGAATAGGGAATGGAGAAGTGATGAGAAGATGGACAGAGAAAGAGGAATCAAGGGAGGCAGAGAGGAGGAGAGAGAGAAAAGATGATGAAATGAGGTGGACTGCAAAGGAGACTTGGAAGGTGGAAACCGTCCAGACCCAGCCATACTGACCCTCTTTCTGGAAAGAAACTGGTGCTGAAAATGTTTTGCCACAAGTCCTGCTAGAAAATGAGATCCTGGGTTAGCCACGACATTGTGTCTGTTGGGTTAATGCTTTTGGCGGCACCACCTAAATTTCTCCCTTGAAAATGCAACTATGAACATGATCCACAGGTTGGGGGCGGGGTGTAATGATGGCCTCCAGTCAGAAGAGGGAGATAAAGAACTGTGCACGGTTGTGCCTTTCTTTCAAGGGCCAAAGAGGAACCCAAAAGAAGCCAACTCAACTCGTACCACATGTAGAAACAAACAAAGGAGTAAAACCAGGAGGGAGCAGCAGCACAAGACAGAGTCCACACACCAGAGAGAAAGAGAGAGAGAGAAGGGCATGAGACACACCAGGGGCACGAAAACGTGCAAGGAGGTGGCATCAACCCTACCTTTCTCCTGTGTAAAAAGGAGGAGTGGAGGCTTTCAGGCCAGAGGTGAAGGAGTGATACGACGGTGGAGCTCCATCAGGGAATTTCCTCACCTCAGAGATCCTAAGCCCTCCGTTGCGAGCTCGGTGCAAGTGGTCAAACATAAGGACCAGTTCTCTAGGGTTGGGTTCAAATAAAAACATGAAGGAATTAAAAGCTTTCAAATGGGAGAGAGAGAGAGAGGGCAAAACAAGCAAGCTAGCAAAAAAGAAGAAGAATGTCAAGGAAAGTCTTGAAAATAGAAGGGGATTAAAAGAAAAAGAGAGGGAGGGTGAGAGAAAGCAGGAAGGAGAAGCAATGAAAAACCTAGCAGAAATTTAACAAAATTAAGACAAACACATTTGTGGATCACTACCCATAAATTCTTTATGGAGTACCTTGTTTTTCTCCATAGGAGAAAAGAATATGGATCACCTAATTGTTTTGTTTTCTTGATTGACTTATCTGGATAGACTAAATTGATTGGTGTTGCTTATAGAATTGGGGTGTGTGGCTGATGAGTTACACTGGCCTTCGTTCACACATGTTTAATCTAACTCCAAACCCAACTAAGAAATCAGTCCATTTCTTAGTTTGTGGAATATGTGGAACTACACATCAGCCAAATGGCTTACATTCATAAAATACACTAAGCCACAAAAAAAAATGAGTGATCAAACTGTCTAAGCTTAGCACATGAAACCAAATGTATAAGTAATTCGGTTAAGTGTGTTGTAGGAACACTAATTTATGAGCATGAGTTCTAATTTTGGGAGGGCAGGTGAAAACGTCATCACGGATTTATCGTCATTTCATTCTGAGTGCAATCCAAGGCACAAACCAGGGGTTCTTCTTCAGATCTGTAGAACATTTCATTCAGCTACAATCTGTAAGTTTGTGGAGGGTGGAGCAGAAAAGCAGCTAAGGCCCTGCTAACTGGATCCCCATTGCATTTAAACTGCATTTAAAGCAACAGGGCCAATCACTGAATCTTACCATTAATTGAGATATTCAGTCTTCAGTGCTAAACAATGCCCCATGGGTTGTTCACCACTGATAGTGTTCAGTGATAAACATGATTGAATTCAGGATGGCTATGAAACCTATTCCCTATACGTCTCCCAGGCAAGCATACAATAAGAATACATAGCAAATGAAATTAGTCCAAAAGGTTTGCAAAAAGAAGAAGCAAGACAAAAGGGACGAAAAGCTAGTGCTGGTCAGACTTCCATATTGGACTTTTGTTTGGAAAATAATAGCAATTTGATATAATCACATGGAACTTCCTCCTCGTTGGAGGTCTTCAAGCAGAAGATGGAGTACTGAACTGTTCTACCAACTCTAGATTGTGTGCTCCTTGGTACTCTCCAAACTGGATTGCTTTCTTGTAGATGTTCCATTATTCAACTAGGTAACATCATCAGTGCTAGAAGGGAGTGAGTTTTGCTTTCTCTTTATATACAAGTGGCTTGCCCTTTCAGTATTGGTGGGAATATTCTTGGTGGCTCCTTGACTAGGCTGTTGTATCTTGTTTGACTATTTGTTTGAGTTGGTATTTTCTTGATTGGGATATTGTTTACTTCTCCATTGTTGGTCTACTGTTAATCTTCGTGTTAATATCTGTTTATCTATGTGTTGATTGCTGGTAAGGTTGGTTTTTTTTTGGTTTTTTGCCTTTTTTGAGTGGTACGTAGATGTTTATCTCAATGTGCCCGTTTATAGCTGAAATTTCAGGTTTCCAGAAATTCTCCAGCATTTTTGGACTTAGTTTGGTTTAGGATGCTCAGTTTCACAGTTGAAATTATGGTGAAGTCTGTTCATATGTTGTGCAATTAAGGAGTATTCATCATGTCTTCTGACTGCTAATTGGTGTTTATGGATGCACTCGGTTAATCTTCTGCCTATTTGTCCTACATGTCAGAGAGCACCAAGGACCCTACAGTTCAACCCTGAGCTACAAATACTATTTTCTATTGATACAACTCTTTAGATTCACTATACTCAACAGCAACAAGAGGGCTAATAAGACCTCCTCCAAATCTAACTCTATGGCCAAGCAGAATCTGAATTTAGGAGTCAGAATCAAAGAACACTGGACAGCCAATACACCTTGAATATAAAGGGTACAGCCAAAAAGTGATCTTCTAAGAATTACAACAGATGGATAGTGGTCTTTGCTTATAAACCTAAACCCCAGTTCTATAGGTGCTAAGTTGCTAGTATTGACTTTCACAGCGTTACCGTTAAGCTCTAAAATTATCTGCACTGTTGGGCCAAGTAGAAGGTAATTTGAAGCAAACCTAGGAGGGTCTTCCTCTTTCACAATAACGCTTCTCTACAGAGGACACAATAGAACCTCCAACTCATAAGACTTCCTATCTGGAGCAGTGAAACTGGGGTTCATCACTAAAACATCACTACTCCAGATCAGTGGTTTGTCCATGAAGAAGACAATTAAAAACAAGGCCTCCAAATCATGGCCAGATGCTCTGGACTATCCTTTATATTGGGCGGGGGGGGGGGAGAGAAAGAAATATGGCTTGCAAAGCGATGACCCAAACCCTTGAAGATGGAATTTCTTCTCCCTGATGTTTGGCAAAGGTTAATTTTTGGAAGCTCCCACTTATGCCATAGTAACCATCATAAAGGAGGCAGGTTTTGCGTAATTTATTCTTTCTCCCTAGTGCAGAAACTATAGCCTTCCAGAAAAAAATATATATTAAGTTTTCCAACGAATTTGACCAAATCCACCAGAATTTGCACTGCATTTAGCACGGCAATTCAAAAAGCTTCACAATCCAGCTTCCGAGCCTATCTTATGTCACATTCAGACAGAAGCCCTTGAGGCAAAGATGTTTTGCGTCGTATTTGTTTTTTAAATGTCTCTCCCCTAAAAAAGGTCAAATATTTTGAAACTGGAAGAAAAGCGAAATGACAGCACAAGCATCCTGAATGCCGATTCTTCTTTTAAACTGTCTTTCCACACTAGGGAAAGGTGTAGCCAGGGATAATAAATCCCCTGTAAATCTTCCCTTATTACATTGCCTAATACAATTTGTGATTCACCTAGCTCAGGGGTAGGCCACCTTGGCTCTTTTATGACTCGTGGACTTCAACTCCCAGAATTCCTGAGCCAGCCATGCTGAGGGGAAAGGGAGAGGTTTCCAAGCTGAGCCATGCTGGCTCAGGAATTCTGGGAGTTGAGTCATAAAAGAGCCCAGGTTGCCTACCCCTGGCCTAGCCTCACAGAGTAGTTGTGGTGGCATGGAAGTGTATGGAAGTTAATCAAGGGTGTCATCTTCCTGGTCTCCTTGTTTATTAAAAAGGTCCATGGGAAGGGCCTTGTGCCCAAAGCGTCCAATCATGAGCTATAGAAACTTGTCATTTTTTGGTCCTTGTTACCACATTTTTTTTCTCACTTACTTTCCCCCTTCCGTCTTCCTTCCTATCTCCTTCTCCCGGTCTCGGAGGAGGATCTAATGTCAAGATGTCTATCATGCCTGCGATGATTCGGGCACCACCCCTTTTTACATGCAGAGGCCATCTTGACATTTTTATTTCTCCCTGGGTGGACACTCATACCCTCCAAATACAGGTTTCCCCTTATTATATAAGGGACACAGCCATGAGTTTAAGTAATTGTGGGTTCCAATTCTCGTAGGAATGAACTGGTCAAGTGGGGTTGAAGTCCCACCTTTGGGGAGGACATGATTTGGTGGCCTTTTGGTGAGATCAGCCTCTTGCACATAATGTTCTCAAAGTCAATTAGTACTCTCTGCCTTGGAGGTGCTAAACCAACTCCCCAATTAAGCCAGGGATGACCACAGGAGGAGCATCACAACCTGCAAGATAGTAGGAGTGGTATGCACACATAATGTTCCATTGTGATGCTGCATCAGCCATTTTGCAGTTGTTAGCACTCCCCACAGATGCCTTTCGGTGCTCCTCAAGGTCTCATTGAAATCCCCAAGTATGCCCACTCAGTGCTAGTTGCTTTTGCATGTACAAGCCTCAACTTTCCCCCCCCCCTCAAATCATCATTTTTAATAGTTGTTTTGTGCTGCTTCTGCCTGTTTGGTCTTTAATTTTGCTTTGGTTTTTTTGAAGATGATCACTTGATTCCACAGACGTTGTCTCCTTTGTATTTTCATCTTGTTCTCTGATGAAGACAACTGAAAACCCTCATGTGTACTAAACATTAGAAAACTGGGTTATGCATTTAGAAAAATAAGACGCAGAGACCCCTGGGGGGCTGCCACAGGCCTTTCCTTGAGACAATGAAAAACTGGTCTTACAAAAGGGCAGCTTTTTGACCGAACAATTAATGCTTAACAATAACATTTCTACCCTGCATGTATATATGCACGTGACCCCATGCGTGTCTACATGTATGCAAAGGTCCAGAATCACGCTCCCATTAATAGCCCAGCTCCTGCCCTCCTACCTCTCCATTAGTCTCCATTGCAGCTTCCACCACCTAGAAGATCCTGGAGCCCAATTTGAGTGGAGGAAACATCACATGTTATGAAAGATGTGGATGGAATTATGATGCCTTATGAAGAGGGCATGGAATCTGAACATTCAAAACCCAGCAAACATGTTCAGAGGACGTGGCCTACTAAGCATCAGCCTCACTGGTTAGTCCTTTCACCATGGCCAATCGCTGTTCTGCAATGATGCATAATTGTTCTACCACCTTCTCCTGATGGATGGGATTAAAACACTGGATTGGATAAGACTGATTTATCAAAGGAGGCCAGATGGAAGGTACTTCTCTATCTGGCAAGCAGGAAACAACATGTCCCCTGCATCAAAAGGTAGTCAGAAAGCCGGTCAAAGAAGCTAAAGGACACGTGCATCAATTTTCCACGATTCTGTAATCTAATCCAGCTTTCCTTTCCGAAAATTAATGAGACTCTGAGAGAATCTAGCATTCTTCATTGTGGGCAGGTGCTAAGGCTACCTGACACTCACCTTGAGCCAACACAAGAATATCAGGCACCAAATATCCACAAACTACCATGGAATAGATGTCAAGCCACCAAGGCCACCATACAATCCCCATTGATTTCTCCGCCCTGTTCTCCCATAAAGTGACTCGCGCATTTCCCTGGAAATGTGGCAGCAGTCAGAGTAGGCAGAAGAGGCATATTTAGCCCTCCCAATTACTCACACACAGTTTGGTTCTCTCTGATCTATTTTCCCATCTTTGGTCCATCTCATTGCAATTTTCACCATCTTCCTCTTTCCATTTTCTTGGCCAGGACTCCCAAGGAACACCTGCCCCCCCCACTCCAATTGCCATCCCTCCAAGCCCCCAATGTAACTTCACACATACCTAAAAGAGGGAAGCATGCTGTCATAGTAACACCAGGTAGCAGTCAGGTAGCATCGGTTGATGTCTGTGGAGTAGAGGCGCCAAGCAGCCTACGTCAAGGAGGAAGGACAGGAGAAGAGAGAGGGGCGGTCAGCGCTAGACCAGCTTAAGAAGGCTTCCCCTACTGTCTCCACCCAGGCTTAATGAAACAAATAAGTAAGAGTGCTTTGGATGGTGGACCCCCAATCCCACCCCTTGCATTCCTGGTTGGATGCATCTCCCTGCTGAAAGAGGCCAGAGATCCACAAGGGAAGGTTCAGACAATCCAAGGAACAAGGTCCTATGCATAGCACAGCCAAAGACAACTGGAAAATCAGAACTTGAAGGAAGAGGTTAAAAAGAATTTAATTAAAAGACTAAAGCTTCGAATGCAAGCATAATTGCTTTAGCTTGCTAAACTCTAACCCCGTCTATAAAATATAAGCAGTATTTTTCCCAATGAGCTGTTTTTTGTCATCATCAGCCACCATCGTCCTTAAACAAATCATAAAGGGAATTTTACGAAGAAATCACATAAGTAAAGATGACAAAAATACAACCCATAACCATGACAAATTTCAAAAAGGTACGATAGCTTAAAGCAATGGCAGAATCCAGTTTCATGGCCCTGAATATATACTTTAAGAAAATCAGAATTAAATATTGCTATAGTTCTCTTTGTTGGTCTTCCTGTCAGTACGGAGAAGAGAGCTGTAGGAAATTGTAAACTGGCACCTAAAAAATCAAACAGAAATGGTGTAGTGTTGCCGCTCATCATATAGACCTAGTGAACACATGACCATCTTCACGAACCAGGATTCTGGTGCTCTGGTTGTGTCCCCCCCCCCCATTCTTCTAATCAGTATCCCACTTTTGGTGAATTAACCAGGTTGATCTTCATCCTAATGTTGTCACTGTAAATCTGGGGCTATGGCTATGGTAGGAACTGCCACACCAAAACAGAGTAAGGGAGAACTTGGCATCCATTGGCTAGGCTGGTTGTCAGTATATATGTGAAACCAAGTTAAATACCAGGAAGGGAAAGGAAATTGCTCGGAGAAGTCCTGTAATGAAGGGAGAAATATTCACCAGGTTGCATATTTCCAAGTCAGAAATCCACAAAATATGGTGCAGGGTCCATACTGGTCAAAAGTGGAGACAAGCTTTTTCCCTTGAGTTTGACAACACCCGCCTGACCTTGTCAATTACTGTATTTTCTGAGTTGGACTCGAATGTTATTGTGAAGTCATGTCCAACCCATTGCGACCCCATGGACAACGTTCCTCCAGGCCTTCCTGTCCTCTACCATCTTCTGGAGTCCATTTAAGCTCACGCCTCCTGGTTCAGTGACTCCATCCAGCCACCTCACTCTCTGTCGTCCTCTTCTTCTCTTGCCCTCCATCTTTCCCAGCATCAGGCCCTTCTCCAGTGAGTCCTTCCTTCTCATTAGGTGGCCAAAGTATTTGAGTTTCAACTTCAGGATCTGGCCTTCTAAAGAGCAATCAGGGTTGATCTCCTCTAGAACTGACCAGTTTGATCACCTTGCAGTCCAGGGGACTCGAATACAACGCCCCCTTTTAAGTAGGTTTCATCAGCGAGATGGGTAAAGTTGGTGCATCTCCTGAAGCTTTGCCCTACAACCTGCATCTTCCCCAACCATGAAGAGCAGCAAAGCCTGCTTCATTTCTTTGAACATCTCCACACTCGCTCCTTTTCATTGCATGCCTCTTGGAGGACAAAGGCCAAGACAAGAGCCGTGGAGATGATTGGGCTTGGGGTGCTCCACATATAGGATTATTACTAGGGATGTCTGGAGATCTTCTCTCTCTCCCTCTCTCTCAAGAACGCTCAAATCACAGCAGCTCCAAACGTGGAGCTGTTCCTGCTGAGCCTTTTCTGGGTGAGTGAGAGAACATGGGGGAAACTCCATTAGAGATTAATTATCAAGGAGGAAGAGCAGGCAGGCGTATCCTGACCTTTCATCTGCTCTGGAAAAGAAGGCTGCATGAATTGACCAGGGGTATCAGATGGGAAGAGGACAGCATCCTCATTCAGGAAGGAGGAGGCCAGAGCTGTGTCCCTAAGATAGTTTTGTGTGCCAAAACAACTGCGTGCATCCTTTTTGTCTTGCCCACCATCCATTTCCAGCTGTTGTTGGAGGCCTCTAGGCCCAGGAGTTGAATGGCAGGGCAAGGCTGCGAGAAGGAGACCTTTTGTTGCACAGATCCTCTGGACCACAGAGATAACGTGGTGTCAGAAGCTTCATCTTTCTGACCACAATAGCAAAGGAACCAGTCCAGACAGGAGGGCAGAATGTTGCTGGATCAGACGTGATTCTGCAACATAAAGTGTACGGCCAACGATGCCAGAAAAGAAGATTTGGACACGTGCTTGTGGCTGGAGAAGGAAGTTGGACTGGAAAGGAGGTCATGACTTAGGACGGGGCTGGTGTGTGTGTGTGTGCGTGTGTGTGTGTGTGTGTGTTATATCTGCCCTGAACTGCACAAAGCACAACTCAAAGATAGAAGACTACGGAAGTGCCCATAATGGAACAATGGATTGTGAAGGTGGCAGAGCTAACAGAAAAAGCAAAATTGGCTTGTTTGACTAAGGAGGGAACAACAGTTACTTTTAGAGACAATTGGAAACCCTTTGTGGACTTTTTCTGCTGAAACTGGACAAAAATGAATTGGCGACTTTGGGATTTATTGATGAAAACGTTTGTTTGTGGGAGGGGAAAGAGAACCACGATGCGCAATTTTGTAATGGTTGCAAAGAAGATTGGAAGTCACTTCTTTAGTTATCTTTCTTTTTCTTTGGTTATTGTCCCTTGTTCTTTTGTTCTTTTATATCTTTCTTTTTTTCCTACTTTCTTTTTTATGTTTCCATAGCTTTCTAAATCTTACGTAACATGTTCTCTTAATAAAAATGTTTTTTTTAAGAAAAAAGAAAGAAGAAGAAGCAAACTGCTAACTCAGAGTCTCAGCTACGTTTGGAGGAAGGCAGGGGGTCATGAAGACTTCCAAGGATTTTTTAGAAAATTTACTTGCTCAGCAGTAGAACAGTACGCTTTGCAATTATTCTTGCAAATGCTTGGAAAGGTTGTCAAAAAAAAAAAACAACCCAGTATTTTTTTTAATTTGTGATGGTCATGTGATATCTCCTTGATGATTTTATTTTTTTTTGCAGAGATAAATTTCATCACTAAGCAAAGAATTGAACACTCTCCAGAGTTAGGCTTATTAGACTTTGTTACAGGACAAAACCATACACTTAAAAATAAATTTGAATTTTTCGCAGCAGCCAAAACAATAATTACACAACATTGGAAAACTCCAGATAATGATTGAGTTGTGGATTAGCAATGCCTCTTCAATTGCCACATTAGAAAAAAACATCTCAGATAAAGTAATGAGATTTTGGGAACAAAAATTAGGAGGAAGAGGTCCATTGGATATGCCTGCCGCCTTGAGTTATTTGTAAAAATAATAAAGGTGGGTGGAAAGAAATAATAAATAAAACCCAACAGTTTTATTCAATTTTATTGGATTTTATGATTTACCTTAATAGCAATAGATTATGTTTTAGTGTACTTTTTTTATTTATGGCACATTTTTATGTGTAAAGTACCTGTCCTTTTATTCCCATTGTAATAGATCTTTTTATTCTACTGCCCTGAAAAAAAGTCAGAAGCCATCACCTTTATCCAGCTTAACTACAGATGCTGCTTTTACCCCCATACCCAACCTTGCAGTGAGAACACCTTAAATTGTCCTTAGCTGTAGTCCTATCCCAAGTAAGAAGTTCAGGAATGAAAGAGCTACAGGAAAATGTAAATCTGACCTGTCAATCAAACCTAAACCTCTCGGTCCACGTAATAGAGAGAGCCACTTGCCTCTGGCATGTGCCAACTGCCAACTAAACTGCTAAGAGAAGAAAGGAGTTTTGCCAATTCTCTTCTCTGAAAAAAAGAATTTTGTCATTCAGATAAAGAGGATTGGGACAGTGTACTTCATAAGTCCAGGAATGTAGGAAAGTGAAACAAGGCACATTGAGGAAAACCTTAGGGATACTTGCTATGCAGTGTTTCTCAACCTGGACAACTTGAAGACATGTAGACTGCAGGTACCAGAATTCCCCAGTCAGACATACTACATGAGAATTCTGGGAATTGAAATCCACACATCTTACAAGTTATCAGGTTGAAAAACACTGTGATAGAGAGAGATAGAAGGTCCAGCCACCACATTCAGACATGCGTGTGTAGGCACATCACTATATCTGCAGTACTTCAAAGGGTCCAAGGCTGTGCTTTTCACAAATACGCAAGAGTTTGTTAATATTATCTGGCAGTTATGGAATGGAGCCACAAAGCACAAACTTGCAATTGCTTGAGGAAAGAAACTTATTCAAACATTCCTTGGCTTCTAGCATTGGTCACATTCTTTAAGCAGGGAAGGCGGGAGGAGAAGAAAAAGAAAAAAATCCAGGATGTTCCTTTTTTTTTTACTCACCTGGATCAAATTTGCTGCAGGTGTCCTTCTCTTCTCAAAATGCTTTTGTCGATGTTGCTCTTGGACTTTGAGAGCAAACCCTGAGCCTAGAATTCCCTGTGTGAAAAGACAAACAGCATCAGGACTCTTCAGAACAGCACTTCAGTTCCAACTAAAAGGAAGTTCTAAGAAATTGGAGAAGTTGTACTATTTGTTGAGGGAAAAGCCAACTATCTAGGATGGTGAGAGGCCAAATGTCTAAGCCGAAGAGAGTCCCAATATTTCAGCATCTTCTCAGCGGCTTAAAGACCTTCCGGACAGTCGGCTCAAAGGGACAACAAGCCCACAACTATGCAATTCTTTTTCTCCTCCTTTTTGTGAAAATAGACAGAAACTACAGATAATTATCAGCAGCTAGCTAGCTTTGAGATAGCCACTTAAATGAAGGCACCAGGCTAGAAACTGGGAGACTATGAGTTGTAGGCCTGCCTTATACACAAAACCAGTTGGGTGACCTTGGGCCAGTCAACCCTTGGAAGGAGACAAGGGCAAACCATTTCAAAAAAAAAAAACTTGCC